CACTCACCTCTAAAAGGAGGTTTGAGATGATATAAGAAAATAATGTCATTATTATGGCATGAATGGTCATTGGTCACGTACCTATTGTACGCCAAAATATTTTGGCGTTGTGATTGTTAAAAGACAACGGTAATGCAAGAAACAGATCTTGCATATAATTTTGACCATAACCATAATGCTATAACTTTCTCTTTAAAAGAGATATTCACCATATAGGTGTTGATGAATATATGGTACTACAAAATTAATTGAGAACTCTGCAAGAGCCAATTATACTATTTTGGAGAAACACAATTAATTACCAATAAGGTATTGTGTTGTAGTAAGTCTCAAAGAAACTTATTCAGTTTCTAAAGTATACGCGAAAGCGGTTGGTTATATTGAGACTATAAATAAAGGAAAGATTTAATATCTTCTATTACTACAACTTGTAGCGGGGTAATATGTATGTGAAAAGCTACCCGCTTTATTCTCCAATTTGTACTACATAAACAAAAGAATACCACAATGAAGTGGATATTTATTGATATAAAAACCCATATCATAATAAACTTGGAGTTTATTCATAATTGCACACATCATGGTGTAAACCTGAAGTTTATCAATATTGATAATTTATCCAGTTGGCATAATTGGTTTAGCCATGTTAATTCAAGTATGATGTGCAAAAATAAAAGAGAATTCACATGGGTAAATATTAAAGAACTAGAAAGTTCTTTACGAATTCTCTTATGTTGCCTGTTCTCATTAATTAATATACCAACTAAAATTGGGATTGAATCCCATGAATGCTGGAAATATCAAAGGTGAATATGGGCCCATTCACCTGCCATGTATACCACATAAGATGCATCTATGAGATGGTTACATGTGCGATTATTATTAACCCGCAACATGGTGTTTGCGAGGTAACTTGCTCAATAATTAATTTACGTGCATATTCCAGTATTCCTATTCAAGATGTTTATCTTGATAAGTTGGCTTACATCACAGTTGGTTTAGCAAAATGATTTATTGAGTGCCTCCACTTGATAGCTAAACTATTGCTTATGAGAACAAAATTACCTATATCAGTTTGATATAGGTTATATACGAAAGTATATTACATTCTCCCCTCACAAGTGGTTCAGGGTCAGGAACCAGATAATTCCNTCTATTCCATTGTAATTCATCCCAAAATTCAATAAGAATTCTCTCCCTCTACTTTTCTCTGCAATATTGTTCTTGTTCTTTTATTGTTTTATAACACGTTATCAGCACGAGACTCTAACCAATTGAGTAGAAGCTTTGGGATTGAGCATAATGATTGTCAATTATTCCATGAACTTCCTTCATGATTAAATTTTGAATTCAAGGTAAGTATTTTACTGTATTTTTCTCTTTTATTCTATACTTTGATTTTAAATACAAGCAAAGACAACAAAGTTTGAGTATAACTCTAATGGAGTTTTAACCACCTGAAGTGGTAAAATTTCTATGCCTAGCCATGATCAAATTCATGTATGATTGTGGGCAAAGAATTGAAAACCCGTCCCATTGAATTTGCTCCATTCTCATTCCCTTAAGAGAATGTGATAGCAGTATGTGATAAGTCTGAAAGAAGACAAAATTATCACTATGAATGTATCAATGGATATGGACGTGGCAATAGACGAAATTATAATCGTCATCATTTGTGGTAATGAGAACAATAAGGATTCTCAAAATAATCTTTCACTCTGTGAAAAATATTTGTCATCGATTTGACATGAGATTTTGTAAAGCACATATAGATGATTATGGTCCATTCATGATGTGAATGTGACAACATCTGATTTATGAATACATATTCATTCTTCAAAGAATATGAACGTGCTAGTGGTAGTGAATATACCGCACTCACCTCTAAAAGGAGGTTTGAGATGATATAAGAAAATAATGTCATTATTATGGCATGAATGGTCATTGGTCACGTACCTATTGTACGCCAAAATATTTTGGCATTGTGATTGTTAAAAGACAACGGTAATGCAAGAAACAGATCTTGCATATAATTTTGACCATAACCATAATGGTATAACTTTCTCTTTAAAAGAGATATTCACCTGTGACGACCCGACCCGTCGTCACGTGAGTTACCGCCCCGTTTTCCCCATGTTATGCTTCCTTATGTTTCATTATCAGTATCAGATGTGTTAGAGTTGGTTTGGAATGGTTTTGATAAGAAATGAGACACATAGTCTCTTTTAAGAAGGCTTAAGTTGGAAAAGTCAACCGGATGTTGACTTTTGCGTTAGAGGGCTCAGATTTGAATTCCGGTGATTTGGTTAGCTTCGGGGGATGATTTGTGACTTAGGAGTGCGATCGAAATTGATTTTGGAGGTCCGGTGTAGAATTAGGCTTGAATTGGCGAAGTTAGTATTTTGGCGAATTCCGGTTGATAGGTGAGATTTTGATCCGAGGGTCGGAATGGAATTCCGAGAATTGCTGTAGGTTGGTTAAGTGATTTTGGATATGTCTGCAAATTTTCAGGTTATTCGGACGTCGTTTGGTTGGGTTTTTGATCGAAAACGCATTCCGGAAGTTTTAGAAGAACTTAGGCTTGAATTCGATGAGAAATGATGGTTTTAGTGTTGTTTGAGGTGTTTTAATGATTGGAGCAAGTTTGAATAAGGTATTGGATCATGCTTGTATTTTTGGTTGAGGTTCCGGGGGCCTCGGGGTGATTTCGGATGGCTAACGGGAAGTTTTGAACTTAAGAGATTGCAGAACCTGTGCTGCTTCTGGTATTTTCGCTTCTGCGGAATTGCGACCGCAGAAGCGGTACCGCAGAAGCGAGAGGAGAGACGCAGAAGCGGCAGGGACCGCAGGTGCGGAATTGGTGACCGCATCTGCGGAGTCGCAGATGCGACAGGAGGACCGCAGATGCGGTAATTGAGTTCTTATGGGGATCCGCAGATGCGTTAGTTTTTCCGCAGAAGCGGGAGTCGCAGGAGCGGTTATTAAACCGCAGAAGCGGATATTTTCGCAGAAGCGGTGCATTGACCGCAAAAGCGGGAGCCGCAGATGCGGCCATGGAGCCGCAGATGCGAAAATAACTGGTCAGAATAGTTTTATTTCCCTTCGCGAATTTTTGAAAGGGTTTCATATTTTCACTTCGGGCTTGGAGAATTTGGGCGAGTTGGAGGAGAGAAATCAAGGGACTTCATTGAGGTAAGAATTTCTAAACCTAAACACGATTTTANAAGTTACGCGGAATGAATTATCATTTGTACATCTAGATCCTCGAATAAGATAATATGAACTTGAAGTTCATAAAGGATAATTCATGTGCAATATATTGCAAAGCATGCCAAACGCATTTGCTGGCCCAAAGAAAGTAACTATATCTCACTACAAATGCTCCTATTGGAATAAGTCCTAGAAGGACAAAGTCTATGGTACGCTTAAAGCGTATAGACAAATCGGTTTCAAATAAACTTCTTGTTAAAGAAGATGAGCAAATGATCAAAATGATCATAATAAAGGAGGCAAGTGATCTAGAAGATCACATGACATAACACTTCATAAAATCTCAAGAGAGATTCAGGTACCTGAATATATGAATGAAGAGATCTCTATGTTATGTCTTTATGAAAAATAAGGAGGTTGGAACCGATATAAAATGTTTGTCGACGATATCTATGACAGCGCTAAATATATATGAGGATCTTAAGTTTGGAGAAACAATTTTGAATATAATTGGTTTCATATGAAAGACATGCAGTTTTGAACATGTAGTTCAAACACTTGAAAGTATGAAGCCAATGATATGTGCAATCAGTTTTCGATATCTTATTTGTCTAGCATGACATGAAAACTTGATATGCATCTAATTAAAGTCTATTGTATGACTTATATGACAATCCTTGAAGGATTTAAATCGCTTGAAGCATATACAATTCTTGATCTTGAAGTACTACTTCCTCAATGCAATTTGTGCACGAATGTATCTTGCTATAACTATATGCATGATAATATGATAGCAAGAGTTTTCACCTCTATGTGAAGATATTGAACTGGCGATTCCAACAAGATCATATGAAAACAATCCATCTCTATCAAGAATGATGATTTCAAGGTACAATATATTCATTCAAGTTAATATGGCTGATTTGTTTATCAAATCTCTACCAACGATCTTTTGAAGATGGTGCACAAGATCGGAATGCAAATGCTTAAGGATGTGAAGTGATGCTCTCATGAAGGGGAGTTAATACGCGTTGTACTCTTTTTCCCTTACAAGGTTTTGTCCCACTGGGTTTTCCTTGCAAGGTTTTTAACGAGGCAACCAAAAGGCGTATTGTTAGATATGTGTACTCTTTTCCTTTTCTAGAATTTTTTTCCCACTGGGTTTTATTTAGTTAAGGTTTTAACGAGGCACATTATCTGTTGAATAGACATTCAAGGGGGATTGTTATAAAATAAAATTTTATTTATGTTGAATATCTATATTTAGAGAGATTCTAGGGTTTATTACTTGGTGGCTAAGTCACCCTCTCCCTATAATAGAGGGGTCCTATTCCATTGTAAATCATCCCAAAATTCAATAAAAATTCTCTCCCTCTACTTTTCTCTGCAATACTCTTCTTCTTCTTTTATTGTTTTATAAATAAAATCATCTTTATAAAGAATACAGTGCATCCTGCATTATTTCGCAAAACTCCTACTGTTACTTTTTCTTTCTTCCAGACCAGAATGAATAAAGAGTTCTTTGCCATACCAAGTCATCTTATCTTTGAATGTTCCGAGAGAGCAAAACGTAACTACGTATCTTACATTCTCCAGTTCCTCTAATATTTTATTGATGAACTCCCCCTGCACATAAGACTAGGTAAATGGCAGCTTAAATGAAAATCAGGTCGAACATTGGCTCTCTCATTACGAGAGCTAGGAACGGGTTTGCAGCACAATGAAATTAAAACATCAAACAGCTTTATGAAATTAAAACATCAAACAGCCAGAAAGCGAAGACTCGTAAGTAAAACACAACACTACAAGCACTATGGCCCCCTTCAAATGGTAAGGCATGAAAAGTTACAAAAAGAGAAGCTCATACCAAAATAATTCCAAGACTTCATTTTCATTATATCAGTGATACTACAAGCTAACAATGCAAGTATCTGCTAATATGAACATTTAGGCAAAACACTTGGAAAATATCCAAGAACCAAACTGACAAACAAGACACTTCCCAGTGCTCCTTTTACTAATCTATCGACTATATAGTTGTATTAGTGGCATGGACTCATAGACCCTTACTATAAAACTTGAAGGGGGACTGCCGAGACAAACCAGTAGGCAGATGGTCCGTAGATTCAAATAGCCCCAATTACTAAAACACGCGGGGTTTTCAACTCGACACATAGAAACAACAAACGACAAAAAGGTTAGGACAGGTCAGAATTTCATGTGTGGTCTTCAATCAGAGAAGTTAAACCAGTTATCTTCCTAGCACCATTGCTTGAATCCTTGTGTTTAGTTTCCAGTGGTTTGCCTTGCTGCACCATCACATCCTTTTCTTCTTCATCACAAGCAGATAGAGGATAGGTAATCACGCTCTTAGCGTTATTCTCCAAGAGTGGGCTGCTCTCTCCAAAAACCAGATTCAGCTCCCCACAAGAATCTTCTGAAGTCTCCTCTTTTACCGCTTGTTGATAGGTTTTGCAAGCAGTGCCAGTTTCAGGAGCAGAGTTTGACACGGTTGGTGCCCCCATTAGAGTTGGTTTGATACGGGTGTAAGGTGACAGCCATTTGGCTTTCACGTATTCAGCTTTACGCCATGGAGGAAAAGGCATTCCTTTCTTCTTCAAGCTCTGCTTTGCAGCCTCTGTTAGCAAATGAACAATCTTCTGAAGGCGATCCGCTTTGCCTACAAAAGTGTTAGGCAGCAATTGGAGGAGAAATGTGTAGGACCTGGTCGACCTTGCTATTTCAAACTCTGATCTGAAATCAATGTCAATTAGTAGTCTTTCTCCTTCAGTCACCACATCAACATATTCGTATGTTCCTGTAGAAATATTCGACTTTTGTTGAACTCTTAACCCAATAAATAGCAAACAATATCAACATATTCATACACAACAACTTCAATATATTCATACGATCCTGTCAAAAAGATACAGACTTTGTTGAAATCTTAACCCAAAAATAATAGCAAACATCAACATATTCATACGCTCCTGTAGACAGATTCGACTTTTTGTTGAATTCTTAACCCCATAATAGCAAGAAAGAAAAAAAGGCAGCCTAAGCAGATAGCCAACAACTGTGCCTCAGTCCCAAACACGTTGGTATTGGCTATATGAATCCTCACTGTTCATGTTTCTCCATTTAAGCTAGCCTGAATATAAAACAAAATGCAAGTTGTAACTTGCCATGTTGCGGACCAAGTTTTCTTGCTATTAGGCCTTAATCTGGAACTAATTGGGATCAATTATATGTGTCTTCTGTGTCGAAATAATCGGATCGATTATATGATCAATGAACCAATTGACTTCATTGTATGTCTTTGCATCCATTCTGCTCTATTTTTGGTCATATGCATTGCAATCCATTCTGCTCTATTTTTGGTCTATTTTTGGTCATAATTTGACGACTTTAAAATTAATATTCTCACTCTCACATTTGCTGGAATATATATAGATCTTTAACCATACAAAACTAAAGAGATTTATACGTCATCTCACAGTTACTAGAATATATATATATATATATATATATATATAGATCTTTAACCATAAAAAACTAAAGAGATTTATATGTCAGAACAAATATACGCATGAAGCTGATAGTTTCCAAGTCAGATTTAAGCAAAAAAATCCAGCACATATTAGTTGTTGAAATTGTGAGTTTACCGGCAGGAGTGGAAGGAGTTTTGTCCCAGCGAGACTCGCAGATTGAAGCATCATATCCCGTAGCTAAGAGGCCATCAACAACTATCTTTCGGATGAAATTGTCCTTTCGCTTTCCCATCTTGTTTTTCTCAATGATCTTTGTAATATCAGCTAAAACGTTCCTTTCAATAAGGGAAGGACACGGCACCAAACTCTACACCAAAAAAGGGAGTTATTTTGAGAAACACGCAAAGAACAGATCCTGTTAATTTAACTCTTCAGAAGAATTTTAACAACAAATTAAGGTAAAATTACATGTTAATGGAACATGCAATACCTTGAGGATTTCACAAGCATCGTTGCAACAAGTATGATTCGATTCAACGAAGCAACTGAGTGAATCAGCTTCCTCCTCTGAGCTGTCAGTTCCATTACAGTTAAAGCAATTGCATTTTTGGTTCCGATTGCACCGATGTTTATCAGCCTCGCCTTCTTCAATGAAAGTCTGTACCATTTTAGCCAAACAAACGGAGCTCGGCTCGAACTCTTCGGACGCAACATCCTTCTTATTACAAATCAACTCTTCGCCGGCAACCAGCTTATCCGGCGGCGCCGACGATCTCAAAAATCCTGAAAATTGCCTCTCGAATAGCCGCTTGAACCGTGACTTCTGAACCGGCTTAAACGAGTCATATCGACTCGGTTCTTCCACAGTATTGAAATCAACAGGTTGAATCTTCATCGGAAAAGGCATAACTACAATTCTGACTCTACAATTTCAAGTTCACACTCTACAATCGATCACGAAAATTTCAAATGATTCACGAGAATTCGGCGAGAAACTGATGAACTGCGAGAACTAATGCAAAAGAGGTTTAAGCTAAAACTGGTACCTTTTTATCTAGTAGAAAATCAATTTTTGGAGTAGAAAATAGTCTTCTAGCGGTTTAGTCGACAAAGCATGGAATAACTTGGAAACTCTCCTAAGCTAAAAAGTCTGTAGCTTTTGCTTAAGGTTCAACAAACACGAGACGGCTAAAAATCGCTGATTTTGCGACGGCTACACGACATGACGTCATCACAATAACACTCCATAACAAAACCGATGGCCGGAAAAATCATTTCCGGCGATATTACCGACGAAGATATATATAATAAACCCTAGAGAGAGAGAGTAGAGCAGTGAGCTTTTAGGTGAAAACTGTGGGTGGAGTGCCTTCAAAGTGGTGATCAGGAGTTTGGGTGGGTCATTTTAAAAACGGGGGATATAGGGTGGTAGGGTAGCTGACTAGGATTCGGGTTGCCACGTCGGTCTATGATGTGGCCTTGTTGATTTTATCTGCTCCAACATTATACGTGGCGCATGCATGTTGCGGTTCATTTCATGATCGAAAGGAAAGGACGCCACGTCTTAGTGAGATGACGCGCAGATTGTTGTGAAATGACGGAAATGGGCTTATCCACTATTGTTGTTGTGGACACCGAACTTTGGGTTGTTGCAACTCGTGAGTCCTTTTTTTGAACCCAAGTAGGGATATCATATCACGTTCGTGGCGTGAGCTACGCGACCTGTAAGCTTTTTGGTTGTTTCTGTTTTTGTTATTACTTCATTTTCCAGAATTGTAAGGCTAGTCAACAGTCAATGTTGATGTACTTGGTTGGTGGTAAAAGTAAAAAAATTAGTACTGTGAGTAATTAGTTACCGTAAAACCTTGAATCTGACCGAATAGCGGTAAAAAGAGACACTTGACAGCGATTTCGATTGATAAAGACTCGTTCATCACTACCAAACATTATTGAGGTACAATGTTATGTTACAATTAGGTGCTGAGAAAATAATGATCAACTGTTTTGTTAAGGCAAAAAGCTCTACATTCTTATGCAGATTGATAATACATATGGATTTATTTCATATTTTATCGCATACAAAAGTACATAGACTGATGTAAGTATTTAACAGGGTGGATGCGGTATTTTAATGACGGGTTCCATTAAGCCCATAACTTTCGATATGGAAGAGATGGGATCGTTGCCTTCGGATTCAACTGTCTTCTGTCTTCGGCTCCACGCGTCACTTCCTTATTCGATCATTTAATGTAAATATATTACACTACACAGATAGCCTGGCGTAACTTTATGTCACCGGAAAGTTGGTAGAAAACACCTCTTTTGGCGGAAACTCATTGACCCTCTCTGAAAAGTTTTCTGACGGTTGATTAGACGCACATCTCTCCGATTTAATGCTCCAAACACGCGTCATCCCATGATTTAACATTAGTTTTGCCGGTTCGAGTTAATTATGGTCACGATATTAGCCGCCTATTTCTTCACTTATACGCATAAAACTCCTTCATTCACACCTCATAATTCTTCAAACTCTCTTCATTCAACTCATACTTTGTCTCCAACCTTTCTTTAATTTTCTTCATAAGAGAAAAGCTTTTTCTTCTTCTCTAACATAGAATGGCTTCTTCTTCTAAAAATCGTAGTTCCTTAAAGAACAAAGGTAAAACCGATGAGGCTACTCCTCCTACAGTGAACACCATCATCCCCAGAAGTCTTGTCATACCTAAAGATTTCGAAGAGAAATTTCCTTTCGCTAACCCTCGTACATCGGTCTTTGGCAGATACTCTTCTTCCATCCGTCCTCCAGTATTCCTACTGTGAAGGAAGATTGTCGTTGCCAGGATTTAGACACTATTGCTCCTGATCTGGCAGATCGGGTAACCTTACCCAAGAAGGGTTTTACGCATTTCTATATGTATCCCTTCACTTTGGGGTGTTTTCTCTGAGTGGAGAGCTTGACTCCGTCATTGTGGAGTTCTGCCTCCGCTACCAGGTGTGTGTGGCATAAGTAAGTCCTTCCGTGTGGAGGACGGTCGCTTGTCTTCGGCGCCTGTGCCAAGAGAGAGGAGTTATCCCTAGCTCACGTGATGAACCTCTAATCCCCCAAGATCTTCCGCGGAAAAATGGTAAATTTCAGCAAACGTGGCGGCCATGGTCTGCTATCTAGCATAGATGATGACATCGAATGTGGGTGGATGGAATGGTTCGTTGCAGTTGCCAACAATGATATCATTCTCGCAATGGCTTCATGCTTTCCGAAATCGTGGAGCCGCACTCATAAGTTCCTTGTTTAATCTTTCTTTCACGGAGATCATATCATATCATTATTGACCCTCCTTCTTTCGCCTGTTTCAGCAACTCGATGGGTACCACCTAGGTTTGAAGGCTTGGACCAGTGGGTCCAGAAAATTCTGGAGGTCAGTATGCCCGAGACCCGCACATGGAAAGAACTGACCCTTAAATACGGGTAGAAGGCCAAAAATCATGGTAACTTGGACTTATCTCGTCTTTGCTTTTCATGTGAGGAAATTGATTAATCCTTTCTCTTTTTAATGAATTCAGGTCTACCCTATGGCTCGGATATCATCCCCGAGGAGGATATTCAGGCTAATCCTGTTGATGCGGCGAGGCTGCTTCAGGAGGCGTTTACTTAAGCAGGCATCTCCGGGCGTGCTTCAGGTGCAAGTGTTTCTTTTCATAGTCCCCAGCCGGAGAACAAGCAACCAAAAAAGAGACGTTCCCCCGCGGCCGAGGGAAAAAATAAAAGGGCAAGTAGTGTCGTGCCCGAATCGTCTTCAGATGTCGTGGTGTCAATCGCCATGCCTGAGCCGGCCATAGATACCGTGATGATCGATGATGATGGAGAAGCTACTGATGAGGGGGCTTCTCTACATAGAAGACGACGACCTTCATCAACTTAACAGAATGCTCAATCTGTTGAGCTAGTTACACCAACCGAGGACGATGCCTCGGTGCTCTGGGGGAGTTTGAAATGGTGGAAAATGCCAAGTCCCATTTCCAGATCCCAATCACTGTGCCCGGTGCTGTGATGCTGAGCATCGGGTCCCTGCTGTCTTCGGTTGACGAGCAACCAACAACCAACACTACGTTTATCGCAGCTGCTTCTCACCCTTCAACTCCATCAGCTTCATCTCCTTCTTTACCAACTCTTCCATCGGAAACTGCTACATCATTGCCACCTGCCGCATTTGTCCGAGAAGAGGATATTCCTTTTCCCTAGTCCCCAGTTCATGGGAATTTGGGGCCAAATTATGCTGCCCCCTCAGATGATCCGCAAAAGAGGAGGAGTGTTACTCTCTCGGTCTCTATCGGATGCAATTTGTTATCCCGACCGGTAGAACTTGCTACTATCTGAAACCTTTGGCTTCAGAAAGAGATAGGGAAAAAATTACAAGCTCTCTCTCGAGAGTGCTTGTTGAACAATGCCATGCACAACACCGTAGAGGTATATCCTTCGTTTCTTTCGTTATTTCTTCTTCCTTTTGATACAACATTATTTTGAGGTCCTCCAAAGGTTGATTCAAGATAAAGAGGAACTTACCTCTGAGCGGGTCAACTTTTGGCCGAGTGGGGCCAAATCAATGCTTGCCTCTCAGAACTGGAAGCTAAAGTTGCTGAGGCTGTTGTGTTAGAGGCTCGATTGCAGCAAAGCGAGCAAGAAGTGTTACATATAAGTTTCAATGATGACAATTGCGCATAGCTAAATCCTATCTACTTTGATTGTAGGAATCAAGGCACCATCAAGGGCATCAACAAATAGAAGAGAAGATCGAAGATTTAATGATGCTAAAACAAAGGAAGTCCAGAATTGATGATGCTAAATCGAAGGAAGTCAAACCATCAAAAAAGAAACCAAATCAGTCCCGCCATGTCAATCTCAATCAAAGGACATCGAGGCTATCTAACAAAGCAAATATATCAAGTGCAGCTCGAGAACATCAGACCTCTCCTCAAGGACTATATTAGAAGATTGACCAACCAAATCGAAGCCTCAAATCACTCCATGAAATGAGGACATGTGAGGAAGCCCATCTAAAGTGCAGGATTCGGAGGCACCACTTGGGTCAAATCTCTTAGAAGATTCAGTGCCTCAATCAAGATCAATCTGCAACGGCTCTCAAACTCTCCTTTAAGAAGACTGCCAATCTCAAGAAGAAGATTTATGCAACTACAAACATTGTCTTCTAAGTCTCTCTAGTTCTTAGCATAAACACTATATTCTTGAGTTTACAAGTGTCACAAAAGATAGGAAGAGTTAGAACACAAAAGAGAGTTGTGTCAACATCCAGAAATTACTGTTAATCATCATTGGTGGTGAACGAACTAAAACCATCACTGGTGTAATTCTTTATCAAGATCTAAGAGAATCCTTGTGACCCAAAGGAAACTAGACATAAGTACCACACCGGTACCGAACCAGTATAAAAACTGTTGTGCCTTGTTTAGCTTTCAATTCGTTTGGTTCATCTCTACTTTACCTATTTTCTGCTTGAAACCTAGTCGACTAAACTTACAATTAGTCAACCAATTTTTAATAAACCACTATTCACCCCCCTCCCCTTGTACTTTCAATTGGTATCAGAGCGAGGTTCACAACTAGTGAGGAAAAGATCATTGGATCGAACACAGTCATTGGTGCATTGTTTCAAGAAGGAACCTCTCAAGTACGACCGCCATATTTCAACGGGCACACTTTTCTCATTGGAAAGTGCGTATGGAAACATACACCATGTCATATGACATCAAAGTCTGGCGGGTGATCAAAAAGGGAAATCTTCCAATTTCGCCAAAGAAAGATGAGAATGGCCTAGTCATTCTATCAACTGATCCACTTGATTTGAATAATTATACTATGAGCAAGCTGCTGTCATAACTGTGAATACTAAAGCAAAAAATCTATTGTATAATGCTATCAGTGGTGAAGAGTATGAAAAGATCTCAAGCTGTGAAACTGCTAAGGAAATGTAGGATAAATTAGAGGTCACATATGAAGGAACCAACAAGGTAAAAGAAACAAGAATAAATCTTTTAGTTCGTGAATATGAGCTATTTCAAATGAAGGAGGGAGAATCAGCAAAGAAAATGTTCCCCAGGTTCAGTAAAATTCTTGGAGATCTAAAATCCTTTGGTAGAACAATAAAGAGCAGAGAACATGTCAGAAAAATTCTTAGAAGTCTACCACAATTTGGCAGCCCAAGGTCATTGCTCTGGAGTGTCAGGACCTTGACAAGTGTCCTATGATGAACTTAGAGGTGATCTAATAGCCTTTGAGAAAACTCACTTGGACAGGCAAATTCAACAAGAAAAGAAAAAACAGTTGCTTTCAAAGAAACTGTGGCTGAACCAGAAGATGAAGAAGAAGAGGAAG